TGTAGGAAAGGCCAATTTTGACAACAAAAATAGGTTAAGAAGTTTGGTAGGGACTGACAGTATAATAAATGTGTATTATTACTTTTTAAAAAACATTTATTTATTAGAAAGAGAGAGAGAGGGAGGGTGGGTGTCGGGGATGAGGGGCAGAGGGCAAGAAAGAATCCCAAGCAGAACCCCTACAGACCTCGGAACCCAACATGGGGCTCAATCTCATGATCCTGGGATTACAACCCTGAGATCAAGACCTGCACCAAAACCAAGAATTGAACACTTAACCGACTGTGCCACCCAGGTACCCCATAAATGTGTTCAGAAGATCCATGAGAGCCACAGCAAAATAGATCCATGTGAGAAAAGAGCCAGGGTGGTGAGAAGTGGTTAAGGAGGGGATTTAGCTCAGAAGAGGAGGTAAAACAGGGAGACGAGTAAAGAACCCACAAAATGCAGCATTTGGCCTCCTTGATATTTTCTACAAGGGGCACAAACACGTAAAGAAACCATTACCAACATTAAAGTCCCAGGTATATAGGAATAAAGCAGTGCTTTGGGCAAAGCAGCTCTTGTTGCATATAACATGAATGGCTGGCCTCAGTATAGCTAAGCTAGGGAAAGGAAACAGAAAAGCAGGTAGGATGGGTTAAAGAAAAGGTTTCCTGAGACAAATAAAACTGCAACTGACAACTGTATAAACTACAGGTTAACAATAGCAGTTAACAGAAAGATTTATTGTTCTGTAATTAGATATGGGGTAGTATTTTTGAAGGTAAGTGCTAGGTTGACTAGGAATCTAAGAAATCATGTTATAAACCATGACCGCTGTGACAAAAGAGAGAATTTTAACATGGCTGAGTGTAGAAAGGATTTTTTTAAAAGATTTATTTTATTTATTTGAGAAAGAGATAAAAAAGAGCAAGCATGAGCACAAGAGTGGGGGAAGGGGCAGAGGGAGAGAATATTCAAGCAGACTCCCCTCTCTGAGCATGGGGCTGGAGGTGGGGCTCAATCCCACGACCCATGAGAGCATGACCTGCACCTAAACCAAATGTTGGATGCTTAACTGACTGAGCCACCCAGGTGCCCTGGAAAGGATTTTTAAACAAAAAATTTCCCCTTTTTACATCTGTATACGTAGCCAATGATAATGTAGTTTAGTGGCTAGTACTTTTAAATAACAATTAGAACAGAAGATTCAATGAAGAGTTAATCCCTACCTATAAAGTAGTGACTTTGTTGAAAGATGATCAATATATAAATATTAAAATAAAACAGATTCTCTGATAATCTGTGACATTATTTGTAGAATTTTATTTAGAAAGAGAACACATTTATTCTCCATCCAGGTAACTTACAACTTCTATTCTAGCTATATGGCTGTTTTTTAATACATTACTGGTGATTAAAAGAACAGGGCAAAGAAAAAAACTAACTGAGGTCAGAAGCTACATATCTGGGAAAATAAGCCTGATTGAGAAGCACCTGGAAGAAATAAAATCATATACTATGTCATACTATTTCTTACTAGATGCTGGAAAACAACAGAGGGCATTAAAGTGAGAGAGGGGCAAGAGTGATATAAATATTTATACAAATACATATTTAAAAAAGCATTTGGGGCACCTGGGTGGCTCAGTCGTCAAGCGTCTGCCTTCGGCTCAGGTCATGATCCCAGGGTCCTGGGATCGAGCCCCACATCGGGCTCCCTGCTCCGCAGGAAGCCTGCTTTTCCCTCTCCCGCTCCCCCTGCCTGTGTTCCCTCTCTTGCTGTGTCTCTGTCAAATAAATAATAAAATCTTTAAAAAATAATAAAAGAGCATTTAACCATCATTATTTTAAGAATCAAAAAATTGTATTCCATATGTAAATCCTTATGATGAGCAGTTAGTTCACAGCGGTCAATATGTCAGCAGACATACTCTATCTACAAATCTATTTACAAATCCTCCCTAAATTTATGAAAATCTTAAACACAAATGTCCTCTGCTATACCACACATAGAGGAAGGCAGGGTCTCCTAGAAGCTCAAAATGAGATTTTCTTCCTGGATGTTTCAGATGACACTGTGTTCCTTTTGCAACACAGATAGCACATGTCTACAGAAAAATCCATTTGGGGCGCCTGGATGGCTCAGTTGTTAAGCGTCTGCCTTCGGCTCAGGTCATGGTCCCAGGGTCCTGGGATAGAGCCCCACATCAGGTTCCCTGCTCAGCGGGAGGCCTGCTTCTCCCTCTCCCACTCCCCCTGCTTGTGTTCCCTCTCTCGCTATAGCTGTCAGATAAATAAATAAAATCTTTAAAAAAAAAAAGAAAAAGAAAAATCCATTTTAAATGATTAATACTGTTGAATGAAGTCTGGATTGAGTGTTTGCTATCATCATCTGTAACATAATTTATATGACTGAAACCACTGTGAGTTCACAGAGTCCTGATTTAAAGAAGTCTTGAGATATAATCTGTATAAGCTTGTTTATACTCTCCTTTTCCTTGGTGTCGTCTGGATTTTATTCTACATGCACTGCGTGCTGGATTTTAAGTAAAGGAGTAAATGATCTGAGGTACCATTTTAGAGATCAATCCGGCTGTTGTGGTGGGAGCGAATGGAGGTTTCAAGAGACAAAGAGGTGTGCTGATAGGAGGTTTTTGCAACAGTGTAGGCAAAAGATGAGAGTGGACTGGATTAAAGGCAGTCATAGTAGGGAAAAAAAAAGAGGGAATAAGAAACAGGACTTGCAGATATTAGATGTGGTTATTAAAAGAGAGAAAAGCATCAAGAAGAGATCCACTGGGCGCCCGGGTGGCTCAGTTGTTGAGCGTCGGCCTTCGGCTCAGGTCATGATCCCGGGATCCTGGGATCGAGTCCCCATCGGTCTCCCTGCTCTGCGGGAAGCCTGCTTCTCCCTCTCCCACTCCCCCTGCTTGTGTTCCTGCTCCCGCTGTATCTCTCTCTGTCAAATAAATAAATAAATAAAATCTTAAAAAAAAAGAGAGAGATCAACTAAATTTTTGGTTTTAGGTATCTGGATGACTGGAGATATCATTTACTGAAGGGGGATAACAAGAGAAGAAACAGATTTTTGTTTTGAGAATGCGGGTTAGCTTGAGGGAAGACCCAAGATTCTCTTGGACACCCAAGAGAATATGCCAAGTAGGTGATTAGCTGAATATATATACGTCTGGAATGGTCAAGCCCAGAGATATAAACTGGAAGATCCTGGCACTAGAATGAATGTCAAGTAAGTAGGGACTCTAGTTTGTTTCTGTTTTGTTGTTCTTTTTAATGCCATGCCTAAAAGAATGCCTAGAACAGTATTTGCAAGTAGCAGGGGATTCAATAAATATCTGTTGAGTGAATAAATGAGTGGACATAAAAATGGAGAAGTTAAATGACGGTACGAACTTAAGACCTAGAGATTGCAGATGGAACTCTTAAAGGTTAAAACACACACACACACACACACACACACACACACACACGGCGTGGGGGAGACAATGAGCACAGGGGGAGGGGAAGAGTTTCAGCAAAGGAGACTGAGGAATGCTAGTGAAACGGGAGGAAAACCAGGACGCTATTATTCTAGCAAAGATGATAATATAAAAAAATGTTTCAAGAAGAGTGGTTACTCGGGTCAAAATGCTATTGAGGTTATGTATGAGGACAAAAATGTGAGAATAGTGTCACTGATGGTTTTCACAAGGGTTAGGGAACATAACCCATTCTAATAGGAAGGAAGATAGTGCAGGTACGGATGCAGATAGGGTGAAAGACTTTGTGGTGGGAAAAAGCAAAGTTCCCAATAGCCTCTATTTTCTCAAGGAATTGTGAAACAAGTGTCAGCCAAGAGTGACTCTTCAATAAATGCTCTGATGGGACTAAATAAGATGTTATGGGAGAACAGAGGGGGGATATCTATCTCCGTGTTGAGGTAGAGGGCAGGGGATGTTTAACAGATAAACAGGAATTTATAAGGAAAGGGTAGGCAGGAGAAGTAGGAAGAGCATCTCACACACAGGCAGTACGTCAGAGGCAAAGGAAAAGAGCACACTGTATCAAAAACTAATGATGTAATGTATGGTGATTAACATAATGAAATAAAATAAAACAAAATAAAATAAAATAAAATAAAAGGGAAAACAGCATGTTCAGGAAACAAAAAGGCAGGGCCCAAGAGGTCCAGGGAGGGAATAGCAAGAGATAAGGCTGGATAAGCAGGTACCAAAATCAAGAAGAGCCTTGTGTGCAGTACTAAGGAGACTGAAATTTGTCATGAGAATAATCAGAAGCAGCCACTTGTAATATATATATTTATTTTGGTGGTCTTCAAATCAGTTTGGGGAAAATATTTGTAAATTTAATATACAAATACATTTAATATAAGATTAGGCCATTTATATATTAAATATTTTTAAGTTTATTTTTTTTAGTAATCTCTACAAACTAGGTGGGGCTAAACCTCAGAACCCTGAGATCAACACTCATGCTCTTCTCACTAAGCCAGGCAGGTGCCCCCATTTTTATATTTAATACATTTTTAAAATGGAGAGGCAGGATAGCTTAATGGATTAAGAGTACAAATATTAGACCCAGAACTCCTGTATTCAAACCCTAGCTATACTGTGTGGTGATTCTGTTGACTGTGGGCAAACTATGTAACCTGTGCTTCCCTGATTTTTTTTTTTTTTAAGATTTTATTTATTTATTTGACAGAGAGAGAGAGAGCACAAGCAGAGGGAGCGGCAGGGAGAGGGAGAGGGAAAAGCAGGCTTCCCGGCTGAGCAGGGAGCCCAATGCGGAGCTCGATCCCAGCACCCTGGGATCATGACCTGAGCCAAAGGCAGACGCTTAACTGACTGAGCCACCCAGGCACCCCTGCTTCCCTAATTTTAAATGGATGCTGTAATACTAAAGAAGAAAATAACAGCACCTTCTCAAAGGGCTGTTAAAATATTAGTTAACATGGTATTCTGTAAATGTTAGCTATTATTATTAAAGATACAATTTACCTGTTTTTTAATGGCATAATTTTCACCATCTTCAGCTTTCATTTTTTCGATCTTTTCTTCTTGTTGTTTTGCTTCTTTCTCATACATCATTTTTTCTTTGACCAATCTATAAATAAACCAAAAATGGTTCCAAGAATTAACTTTCTCTCTAGCAAACAGACCATGGGAAACAAAGAAAATGTAAATATAAAACATACTTAGAATACCAAAGTATGTGTACTAGACAGGGAGGAGGCAAGGAGGAAAGAAAAATACCTTGCCATAGATATAAGTCTGATCCTCAGGCCTGTAAGTCCTATACCTGTCTAAACCAAGTGTAATCTTCAAAGCATGAAATTCTTAAATTTTTAATTAAAAACATGTTTCACTATAATAATTGTATTTACAATGTAAAAACACACAAAATTATCATGTACTAACATTTGTCCTTTTAATTAATATATATTTTCCAAATTTTTATACATGTACTTGAAACATATTGGAAAAAGCTCAACTTACTGGAAAAAAAATCAGTATATTGCATGCCAAATCACAAAGATAGATTACATTATTTTCAACAATAAAATTGTTTAACAAGTATTTACTATTCACTTAGTTTTATGCCTAACCTTCCTTGTGTGAGGGAGTGGGGTAGATAATTTAGACATGGTTCTCTTAGGGACAAACAGTGGAAATGAATATTTACTAAAGCAAGAAAAGATATTGATAAAGATCCGGGAGATTTTCAACAATAAATTGGAAGAGAGAAATACAAAGTCCTACTAATTATTCCTCAAATAACCAAAGTACAATTAATCATAACAGCTCAACCTCCTCTAATCCTGGTTTATAAGTTTTAATATAAAACAAAAATGTAGTTCAAGAAAACACTAACACTCACAATATCTAAATAGCAGAATAAAAAGCTTTCAGAGTTCATATATATTAAAAGCAGCTTTCTCCATCTGGCTCGCTTATTAATTTCTACACCTGTGTTTCTGGGATGGAATTTAAAAATATAAGAGAATGGCTTTTGTCCAATCATTTGCAATGACACTAAGATTTTTAAGTATATTTCAAAACAGGATTTAAAAAATATATGTATTTTACTTATTTATTTTAGAGAGTGTGTGCATGCCAAGGGAGGAACAGAGGGGGAAAGAATCTCAAGCACCACACAGGGCAATGAATATAAACAAGTAACAGAGGATACTCAAGAAACAAATAATAAGGGAAATAATAGTACTTGAGAAAGTACTATTTCTGGTTACCTGAGGAGACAAGCCCTAATGATCTGGGGTAGGAGAGGTCAGCTGAGGTCAGCTGGGAGTTAAACTTTTTTTTGAGCTTTTACATTTGAGTTTATTCTTCATTTGACTTTTAAAACATTCCTATAGCTGAATATTAATACAAAAAAACAATAGCAAGTAGTGAGTATGATTATAGTCCTTCACCCATTCACTACTACATATAAAATGCCAATAGTCAGTGTTATTCACTGGTCTCATTAAGAGGTCTGACATTGAACACCACCCCTAGGATGATGTTTATCATCCTCATTATGCTTCTCCATTGTAATGGTGCCATCTTTCCTGATTTGGATCAAAGTTCACCAGGTTTTTCAATTTTGAATAATTTTAAAGTTCGCCAATTATTCCTTTAGCAATATTTTCTAAATTTTTTGGAATAAAGGAAAATTCAATTAGAAAGACAACAAAATTTATCTAATAGTTGTAATTCTCTAAACATTGCTCTCTTCTGCAAGTTTTGCAAATGCTATTAGTTAAAATAACAAGTACAAATAGAAGTCATCATTTATTATATTTTAAAGGCATAATTACCTGAAAATATTTTCTACTAGTGTTAAATATTTTCTATTAGTAACAAACCCATACCCACAGAGAAACATAGCAATTTCAAAATCTGGTCACTTTCAGTAGTTAGACAAATACATGAGAGGAAATTACAAAAATAAGAGCAATAGAAAAGGAGAGACCTAAGGAGGAGAAAGGGGAAACGTTAAGAAATGACAATCAGGGGAGTGATAAATAACTTAAACTTTTAATTATATAGGTATGGCATTAATGTGATTTTTAAATATGTAGTCTGATGTTTTCCAAACTACTCCATGGTATACAAGTGGTCAAATAAGCTTAAAAAACACTGCTTGCTGGGGAACCTGGGTGGCTCAGCTGGTTAAGTTATCTGACTCTTGATTTTGGCTCAGGTCTTGATCTCACGGTTGTGAGACTGAGCCCGGCGTGGGGCTTTGCGCCGGCAAGGAGCCTGCTTAAGGTTCTCTCTCTCCTTCTCCTCTGCCCCCCACCAAAAAAAAAAACCAAAAAAAAACTCCAAAAAACAAAGAATGTGTATTCTTGTATTGCCAAATGGCGTATTCTATAGATGGCAATTAGATCCAGTGACTGGATGGTGTTGGTCAATTTTTTACATCCTTGCTGTATTTCTATTTGTTCTGTTACAAAGAGAAGAGTGCACATTCACGCTCTCTCTAAAAAATAAACCAAACCAAAACAAAACAAAAACAACACTGTGGGCCGAATATTAAAGATTTAGGATTTGTATTTGCATATTAAAAGATCCTGAGAAGTCCTGTAGTAAGAAAATCAGTTTATCTTTGTTCAACTGCAAGCTTATGTGAGGCAAAATAAAGACTTTTCTCCACTCAGCATTCTCCAGAACAGCTGTCCCTCAACAGAAGTCTGAGAAGTACACTGTAGAAATCCGTAAACTACACGAATTCGTATACAACACATTTAAACACACTGTTCATAAAATTCTAGATAGAACACAAGTTTTGGGTATATCAAGAATTTAGAGACCTTGAGATAAAAAAGTTTTAGCTTAATTTGTTTTGATTGTATAGTTTTTATTATAGTAATTAAGATTTTCACAATTATACCCCAACTTGTACTTGGGGCTGTCTAATAACTAATAGTCCAATACCAAGCAAAGGATACTGATGATAGGTCAATGTAATTAATGGTGCTAAGAAACCATAACTGATATTCAGAACAACATTCTGTTATGGATATTTTGAAACAAAAAAAATCTAGAGAAAATAGCATAGTAAATCCCATGCATTCTTCACTGAACACTAGTAATTAGTATTTTGACAGTCTTGTTTCACGTATCTCCTGCTACTTACTTATTAGTATCTTCAGACATAACATCTTTAGTTTGATTTTTGAGGTTAAAGCCTGTGATTTCTACCCCACCTCCCCACCTTACGCCAACCATATAAAAAAATTAACTCAAGATGGATCAAAGATCTAAAAGGCCAAAATTAGAAAACTTCTGGAAGAAAACATAGGGGTAAATCTTTATTTTTTTTTTTTAGGAGTATATCTTGATGACTCTGAATTTTCAGATATGACACCAAAACTGTAAGAAAAAGAAAGGAAAACAATAAATTGGCTTTTGTCAAAATTAAAAACTTTTGTGCTTCAAAGGACACTATTAGGAAAGTGAAAGAGACAACAGAATGGGAGAAAATATTTGAAAATCATATATAGAATAAGAAACATATCTAGAATCTATAAACAACTTATAATTCGATAATAAAAAGACAAATAGGGCGCCTGGGTGGCTCAGTTTTTTTTTTTTAAGATTTTTTTAAGATTTTATTTATTTATTTGAGAGAGAGAGAATGAGAGATAGAGAGCACGAGAGGGAAGAGGGTCAGAGGGAGAAGGAGACCCCCTGCTGAGCAGGGAGCCCGATGCGGGACTCGATCCTGGGACTCCAGGATCATGACCTGAGCCGAAGGCAGTCGCTTAACCAGCTGAGCCACCCAGGCGCCCATGGATGGCTCAGTTGTTAAGCGTCTGCCTTCGGCTCAGGTCATGATCCCAGGGTTCTGGGACTGAGTCCCGCATCGGGCTTCCTGCTCTGCGGGAAGCCCGCTTCTCCCTCTCCCACTCCCCCTGCTTGTGTTCCTGCTCTCACTGTCTCTGTCAAATAAATAAATAAAATCTTAAAAAAAAAAAAGACAAATAACCCAACTAAAAATGGATAAAGAGAATCTGAATAGACATTTCTCCCAAGAAAATATACAAATGCCCAATAAACACATGAAAAGATGCTCAACTTCGTTAGTTATCAGGGAAATGTACATCGAAACCACAGTGAGATATTACTTCAAACTCATTAGGATGACTATAATTAGAAAGTCAGGGAAATAAAAGTCAGATAATAACAAGTGTTGCTGACAAGGATGTGGAAAAAGTGAAACCATCAAACACTGCTGGTAGGAATGCAAACTGGTACACCTGCTTTGGAAGTTTAGCCATTCCTCAAAAAGTTCAACAGAGAGTTACCATATATACCAGTAATTCCATTCCTAAGTGTATACCCAAGAGAAATGAAAACATATGTCCACATAAAAACTTGTACATGAGTGTTCATAGCAGCATTATGCATAATAGGCAAAATGTGAAAACAACTTAAAAGCCCATCAACTGATGGACAAATAAAATATAATATACCTGTGTAAGAGAATAGTATTTAGCAATAAAAAGAAATAAGGAAGAGTAGGAGACCCTGGTTTCACCTGGTCTCAGGAATTCAGCTAGGTAGCTATCAAATCATTCTGAACACCCGCAAACTCAACCAGAGATCTAAGAAAATAATAGCTGCAACTCTACAAATAAAAAACCGACCACTTTCTCCAAGGTAGGAGGTGCGGAGAAGTGAATCTGAGGCAGTACATGGTAAGATAAGCCGCAGGAGGAGGGAGCCTACGTAAGCCGGCTACTGGAAAGCGATACAGCAGTGAAGTGCAAAATCAGAACTTTTAGAAGTCTGCTCCAGTGAGGGACATCCCTGCCTGAGAAATGGCCAGGTGGCAAAGTAGGCGGAATCCTAGGTGGGACAGTGTGGTCTCAGGATCCCCTGGGTCTCAGAAAGACTGGGGGTGCCTGAGTGTGGCAGAGCTCCCAGGCATCAGAGAAGTCGGCTGCAATCAACAAGCCCAGGAGTGGGCTCTGAGCTTGAGGTTGCCATAAACTGTGAACCCCAGCACAGGCAGGCAACTACTCTCTGAGCAGGGGCCCAGCAAGTGGCAGAATCAGCGAGAGCCCTCTTCCTACCTGTGGAGGAGATGCGCAG